GTGCGTGCGTGTATGTGTGCCTGTGCGTGCGTGTATGTGTGCCTGTGCGTGCGTGTATGTGTGCCTGTGCGTGCGTGTATGTGTGCCTGTGCATGCGTGTATGTGTGCCTGTGCGTGCGTGTATGTGTGCCTGTGCGTGCGTGTATGTGTGCCTGTGCGTGCGTGTATGTGTGCCTGTGCTTGCGTGTATGTGTGTCTGTGCGTGCGTGTCTATGTGCTTGTGTGTGTGCTTGTGCGTGCGTGTATGTGTGCCTGTGCCTGTGTCTGTTCGTGCGTGTATGTGTGCCTGTGCGTGCGTGTATGTGTGCCTGTGCGTGCGTGTATGTGTGCCTGTGCGTGCGTGTATGTGTGCCTGTGTATGTGTGCCTGTGCGTGTGTGCCTGTGCGTGCGTGCCTGTGCGTGCGTGTATGTGTGCCTGTGCGTGCGTGTATGTGTGCCTGTGCGTGCGTGTATGTGTGCCCGTGCGTGCGTGTATGTGTGCCCGTGCGTGCGTGTATGTGTGCCCGTGCGTGCGTGTATGTGTGCCTGTGCGTGCGTGTATGTGTGCCTGTGCGTGCGTGTATGTGTGCCTGTGCGTGCGTGTATGTGTGCCTGTGCGTGCGTGTATGTGTGCCTGTGCGTGCGTGTATGTGTGCCTGTGCGTGCGTGTATGTGTGCCTGTGCGTGCGTGTATGTGTGCCTGTGCGTGCGTGTATGTGTGCCTGTGCGTGCGTGTATGTGTGCCTGTGCGTGCGTGTATGTGTGCCTGTGCGTGCGTGTATGTGTGCCTGTGCGTGCGTGTATGTGTGCCTGTGCGTGCGTGTATGTGTGCCTGTGCGTGCGTGTATGTGTGCCTGTGTGTCTGTGCGTGCGTGTATGTGTGCCTGTGCGTGCGTGTATGTGTGCCTGTGCGTGCGTGTATGTGTGCCTGTGCGTGCGTGTATGTGTGCCTGTGCGTGCTTGTATGTGTGCCTGTGCGTGCGTGTATGTGTGCCTGTGCGTGCGTGTATGTGTGCCTGTGCGTGCGTGTATGTGTGCCTGTGCGTGCGTGTATGTGTGCCTGTGCGTGCGTGTATGTGTGCCTGTGCGTGCGTGTATGTGTGCTGTGCGTGCGTGTATGTGTGCCTGTGCGTGCGTGTATGTGTGCCTGTGCGTGCATGTGTGCCTGTGCGTGCGTGTATGTGTGCCTGTGCGTGCGTGTATGTGTGCCTGTGTGTCTGTGCGTACGTGTATGTGTGTCTATGCGTGCGTGTCTATGTGCGTACGTGTATGTGTGTCTGTGCGTGCGTGTATGTGTGTCTGTGCGTGCGTGTATGTGTGCCTGTGCGTGCATGTGTGGGCGCCTGTGCGTGCGTGAATGTGTGCCTGTGCGTGCGTGTATGTGTGCCTGTGCGTGCGTGTGTGTGTGTGTGCGTGTGTGTGTGCGTGTGTGTGTGCCTGTGTGTGTGCCTGTGCGTGCGTGTCTATGTGCCTGTGCGTGCGTGTCTGTACGTGCGTGTATGTGTGCCTGTGCGTGCGTGTATGTGTGCCTGTGTGTCTGTACGTGCGTGTATGTGTGCCTGTGCGTGCGTGTATGTGTGCCTGTGCGTGCGTGCGTGCGTGTGTGTGTGTGTGTGTGTGTGTGTGTGTGTGTGTGTGTGTGTGTGTGTGTGTGTGTGTGTGTGTGTGTGTGTGTGTGCGTGCGTGTGTGTGTGTGCCTGTGCGTGCGTGTGTGTGTGTGCCTGTGCGTGCGTGTGTGTGTGTGCCTGTGCGTGCGTGTGTGTGTGTGCCTGTGCGTGCGTGTGTGTGTGTGCCTGTGCGTGCGTGTGTGTGTGTGCCTGTGCGTGCGTGTGTGTGTGTGCCTGTGCGTGCGTGTGTGTGTGTGCCTGTGCGTGCGTGTGTGTGTGTGCCTGTGCGTGCGTGTGTGTGTGTGCCTGTGCGTGCGTGTGTGTGTGTGCCTGTGCGTGCCGTGTGTGTGTGCCTGTGCGTGCGTGTGTGTGTGTGTGCCTGTGCGTGCGTGTGTGTGTGTGCCTGTGCGTGCGTGTGTGTGTGTGCCTGTGCGTGCGTGTGTGTGTGCCTGTGCGTGCGTGTGTGTGTGTGCCTGTGCGTGCGTGTGTGTGTGTGTGCGTGCGTGTGTGTGTGCCTGTTCGTGCGTGTGTGTGCGCCTGTGCGTGCGTGTGTGTGCGTGCCTGTGCGTGCGTGTGTGTGTGCCTGTGCGTGCGTGCGCACGTGTGTGTGTGCCTGTGCGTGCGTGCGCACGTGTGTGTGTGCCTGTGCGTGCGTGCGCACGTGTGTGTGTGCCTGTGCGTGCGTGCGCACGTGTGTGTGTGCCTGTGCGTGCGTGCGCACGTGTGTGTGTGCCTGTGCGTGCGTGCGTTTTTTTTATTTATGTTTCTAAAGATTCTGCCTAACTACTTCTACCTTTATAATATATCACAGTAATTTATAGCGCAAAAGATCTGACATGCGTAGACAGGATATAGTATATGGCCTTTGATATCTAGCATTTATTTTGGTTTTAACCATTAACTATTACTTACTCTGTCTGCCTTTAACTATAGAACACATTCGTAAAGTGAATTTTAATAATACACAACCTCTGTTATTGCTTCAAAGTATGGTTAAGATAATAACCCATTTTCTACTATATGGCACATAGCACTATGGTAAAGTATTATGGCGAAAAGGGTAGAAATGAGTTACCGATTTGGATAAGATGTGTTCAATGTTAAACGTTTATAGAGCGCTGTGGAATAGAAAGATAGCGAAAGGGGAAGGGACAGGGAGGCCAATGGAATACGGTGGAGATTTGTAAAAGGGGAAGGGACAGGGGGGCCAATGGAGTACGGTGGAGATTTGTAAAAGGGGAAGGGGTTAAGGGTATAGGGCGATTTGACGGATAGTATATGTCTGAGGGAGGGAGAGTAACACTGCAAAAGAGCCATTATGGAACAAATCAGCGAGTAGAAATGGTAGCTGTAGATGTAGGAGAAGAATCCAGAGAGTGAGATAAGGAAAAAGGGGAAGATGAAGTATCAGGAAGAATGTCAGGAGGGGGGGGGGCATCCGCAAGACATTGTTGTACCATAAAGGAGTTTACATGAGCATCCAGGTGAGAGTGGTAAGGGTAATGGGGAAGGAAGAGGGACTGGTGATAAATATGGAGGAGAGGAGGGTTTTTTGGGGGGAAAGTGGAGGAAGAAGGACAGGGGGAACTTGAGGAAGAGAATGGATATTGGCAAATACTTTGAATGTAGAACGGTTCCGAATAGAGGTATTGGAGGGTGAATGAGAGGATGGAACATTCTCTTGGGTCATGATTAGGATTCGAGCTTGTCGGCATGACAGCAATTTAATTCTGACATCGATGGGGAAGAGGCTGATTTGGTTGGACAGGACACTCCACCAATATAAACTTCATGGGGGAGGTAGTGTATACAGAAGCTAATCTTGGCAATATTGGTGTAGGACTTTAACTGTCCTCTGGTAGCAATAGTGTTGCACTGTACTGCCACTGCATCATAGTCGACGAAGCATACAAGAAGGTCGTTTTCACAGTACAGTTCTTGTTGTAGACGGGACAATCAGTCAGGGAGACGGAAACAGTTCTGGTACAAGTATTAAGGAAGGAGTGAGGTTGAGCAGGAATAGGTATGCCAGTGAGGGCAGTCAGGGTAGATAGTGCATGAAATTGGGACTCAGATGTAATGGTGACAAGGCGTGAATGAGCAGAAAGACTGTCAAAGGAAACTTTGCCTACTTGTTTTTGGAGACATTGTTGGGAGAGAAGGGTATTTTCAGAGTAAGGGGCTGAAAGGAGATTCACAAAGAATTGGTCCCACTTGCCTGGACCAAAAAGGGAACTCAAAAGGTTTGCAGAGGTGGAAGCAGTAGAACAAGGGTAGGAGGAAGATGGGTTGGTATGAAGAGAGGTAGTATTGAGGGGAGAAGGACAATAAGGAGGAAGAGTAGTAATAAAGGGGGGGGGCGGCAGACAATGAAGAAGACTGTGCAGGAGGAGTGGAGGATGTTGGGCGAGAAGGTTGAGTAATGATCTGGATGGATGATTTGGGATGGATAGAGTTGAAAGCAAATATCGAGGGGGTATTAATATCAGTGGTTGTGTCTGTGGTCATAGGAGAGGCAGTGAAATCAAATTCAGAAAGGGTAGTTGATGAAGGGGCAAGCCGTAATGCACCTAATGAGGGTAAAAAATTATTGGCCAGAAGAAATGTGGGGAGAAGAAATGGTCTGCCCCTCAGGATGCTCCCCATACGGGGTAAGGCTAGGTGATTAATCAAGGGAATAGGACTGTTCAAGACTCACTAAGCCAGCAGCCTTTCATCCTTTCAGCACAGCTCTCATACCTTAGGAAATGGACAGAAGATAGGGATAAAGAGAAGGAAAAAGAAAGAGGGAGAAGAAAAGACCATCCAAAATTAGTTGAGGCGAGGGCTGAGGTCCAAGGTAGGTGTGATCCCCTACATCAGGCCTCAGTCTCCGTCTCCTAAGAACCCCACGACAACAATGAGCAAGGGTTTAAGGGGGACTCTATTCACAAGCTCATTGGCATCCCGCACACAGTATCCGATAAAGTTCCATGACTGTTGGTTTCCTGAGAAGCATCGCAAATATTGGTTTCTGGTAATTGCTCACAGACATTTTTTGAATGTAATGATCATACATTGTACCTTGAGATTCTCCTTGGTCCTGAGAAAAGTGTGTTTGAGTACGACTAATTTGGATTTTCATAATATAATTTTTTATTCATTAAATCTTTATTTTATACTCTTGCCATATTTTCAGAACAGTATTTATCAAGTTTAGTCCCTTTAAACAACTATTAAATTACTCCAGTGGTTTATATATATTAGAAATGAATAAAATCCTCTCACTTCATAGTTATGGAACTGGAATGTGTCTGTACATCCAGAACATCAAAAATTTTGACATTATGAAAGGCTACTTCTTGTGGGCTGCGTAATCACCGACCAGACAGCCCTTGCGTGGCCATCAGGAAAGGCGAAATAAAACGTTCAAGGAAGCCACTCCAATGATTTCATACCTCATATATTATATATATATATATATGTCTATGGGCTACATGCTACACATAACGCTCTTTTACAACATATCAGGATTACAATGGTGACAATTAAAACACATAATCACAATGGATAGATTGAGAATAATCACAGGAATACACAAGAATGTTCCTATACAAGACTTGCTGTTTATTTGTTCTGTATGAAGTACTCAAAAAATAATATGGCAAGTCAATGTGCTATTCTTCAAAGCATATATAAACCTTGCGGTGAGGTGATACACTTGATAAAAAGTAATTGATAATCTTTATTAGTTTCTTTTTGCAAATTTGAAAGCAAACAATAGTTCTTGCTGGAGACAAAATAAGAAAGAAATATTTTACACCGGCAAACATATAAAGGAAAATAGGACACTTAAAAAACAATATGTTCAAATTAAAGAAAGAAGCATCAGAAAGGACAAAAAAGAGAATACATATATATAAAATCATCACAGAATACAGGAAGCAGAAACCATAAACACAGAAATGAAAAAAAGAAGCAGGACAGAAGAGAGAAAAAGAAAAATCCACACTTCAATAAATATGAAACAAGTAGTAATCGCAAGACAAGAGATACACGCAGGGTTGACATACAGCTTAAAAATACAGCTGTAAAAATAGATGATGTGATCAAATAAAGCAAATTTTCATTTTGAAATATCTACCAGACGAAAAGAAATTCTTGAATGAATATACACATTCCTACATATCATCATCAGCCTATAAGCCTATCAAAAATTCTCCCTGCACACTGCACCTTCTCCCTGCACACTGCACCCTTGTACATCTAACTTTGTGAGGTCAATGCTGTGTTCAAATTATGAGCCATAACAAGTGTATCCACAGAGAAAGATCAGCATATGATAGGGGATAACTAAATAACTACTCAGCCACTTTGGAGACGGAGCCAAACCTGCTTATTATACCTATAGTATAATGGTGTTCTACTGTCCTTGGAAACCTGTTCATTCTGCCTATCTGTCTTGCTCCACGTAAAGAATACAATCATATTTACAGAACAGGGAAGTGGTTGCTTTGTTACTATATATCAGAAGCATCCTCTTCTTTAGTACATTATAAGCTCTATGTATCTGAGGAAGAAAACAAATCTGAATGTGCATATTGGTACAAGATTATCCTTTCATTTCCGGCTGAGAAAATAAATTTATTCTCTATTTACAAAGAGGAAAAAGAAAAAGAAAATAAAATAAAAAACATATAACATAATCTTGGACAATGGTGACCCTTGGTAAGTAATATATTTCATCAGTCAAAGAGAAGACCAAAAGGAAAGAAAATAGTTCTCTTATCAAAGCTTACTGGTAAAATATTGCAAAATTTGGGAAGGATAAAACCCGTAAACAATTAAGTTTTATTCGTCCCTTACATATTTTCTGGCTAAAAAATATAATTATATTCCATCACACTTCCTATTTGCATTTGGTGTGCTACATATGCTGTCGGAAAATCAACAACTAAGAAGATACAAAAGCTACGTGTTCTGGCCCTTACTGCTTGTTTGACCCACATACTGCGCATTCTGTGGGTGCACCTCATAGAGCTACATGAAATTTCAGTCACACTTCAGTAGAAACATTCATACACAAATTCCAATATATTCTGATCCAAATAATTTGTTATTACGCTAAATTCTATTTATCTAGTGACTAAGAAAAATAATCATTAATTCATTTCACACCTATAGATTATGAAACATGATTACCAGCACATCAATGCTATATGAAAATATAATCAGAGGCCTAGCCTACACAAACAAGATCCCTCCTTTAATAAGTACGTCAGCAAAACAAGAGTTGGCACAAACAAAAAACAAAAAAAAAAATTGTTCAACTTGTGCATTATAATTTGCCTTAAGAAAAAAGTTGCCATTTTCATAAATTGTCAGATATCTAAAATGGAATGGTACAAATAAATTCTTTGGTTTTGGGCAAATTTCCTTTACGATTGCTGAGCGAAAGTATGGCTTGGAACATCGTACGGCTGCTACTCCTTATAGTTAGATCACTGGCATGGTAAGTCGCAGGAGAACATCCCTTCAATCATGTGTGGGTCACTCGGCAACTCTTTTGGTTTACTATCATTATTATTCTCAACTATAAAAAATAACACAACAGTTCCACTGAGAAAGTTACATGGAAGGATACTTTGTGACATATCAAAAGAAACGGAACTTCAGCAATGGCCAAGAACTACGCACCAGCAGACGAGAGCCTCCGGATACGGTGGATGATATGAAAGGCTGTCGTTTACTCTGTCCTGAAAACATCCTCCAAGACTCTCACAAATGATATGAAAATCAGGACTCAAGCCTAGTAAGAACCACACAAAAAATGTGTTTATATATATACTTATATATATAAAATCTATTATCATTATTATTATTATTTTTTTTTTTTTTTTCAGCAATGAAATGAGTTGCAAAAAGCTCCAAATTTTGATAATCAGAAATTAGCTTGTTTACTTACTGTCCAAGGCCACTTCTGACGTGTGGATTAGTAAGCTCTACAAGATCCATATGTTACCTACATGAAACTATAGCCACAACAAAACATCTTGTATTACATAGTCTTGTACCTTGCCAAACAACTCTCATGCAAGTTTACTGAATAAATTATTTCAGTTTCATCAATTTTTATTCATATATATATTTTTTTCTGTTCTTTAAGTACAACATAATTCATACACTACATACAACATTTATCAGAATATGTTCTGGACAGCCATTATAGATTGTTATATCTTATCTTAACATCTTGTATATTTGTGGAAAGACTCCCAACATAATGGTGAGTAATTTAACATTAATAGCAATTTCTTGGGGGAAAGTAAGAAGAAATATATACATGTCATTTACATTTAGATGTATGTATGCATAAGTGTTTATGTATGCGTGACATGTGTGTGTGTGACGTGTATACATATGTAGGTAATTTTGTGTGTGTGTGTGTGTGTGTGTGTGTGTGTGTGTGTGTGTGTGTGTGTGTGTGTGTGTGTGTGTGTGTGTGTGTGTGTGTGTGTGTGTGTGTGCGTGTGTGTGCGTGCATGCGTGTGTGTGCGCATGTATGTGTGTGCATGTGTGTAGGCGTGTGTGTGTGCATGCACGTATGCACGCATGTGCATTCGCATGCACTTGTGTATGTGTGCACATTTGCTTATGCTTGTGTGTGCATGTAGGTGTGTGTGTTATTTTGTAGTGTGTGTAACACTAATTAAAAATAGTTTGAATAATCACAAATGTTTGTGTTAGTGCATGTATGTATATATGCAAATTTCCATAATAAAAAAAGAGAAGCAATTAATGTTATCAAACGCACCCTGAATCCTTAAGGAACTGATTTAGATTCCTGACAAGACAACTACAAAAGTATATAAATTAGAAAATCATTACCAACAAAACTATAGAATATCTTTCATTGCAGAAAAAAATAAGAAAACTTTATGCATATGCAATATCATACACTGTTGCATATTCTGCGGAAACTGATGATATTAGATCATGTAGATAGGGTTATGAAGAGTTATCTTTTAGGCAACAATTGAAGTGTCAAATATTCATCTACATCTTCCTCCAGAAAATCTTAAAATCCAGCAAGGACAGCACTTGGTTCGCCGAAATGAACGACAATCCATGAGACAAAAAATCCTACGACAATTGCTATTCATCGTGACGATTACACCATCATCTCCTTTCATCTCTTATAATTGCTAAATTTTGAAGCCAAAAACTTTTTTTTTTTTTACTTAGTTTTTAGTTTATTTTTTTAAATTTTTTAAGCAATGTCCGTCAACACTTACAAAAAGCAAGACCATCTTAACTACTTTAATGTTATCTGTGTTCTATAGCATTGAAGGTCTATCACTGTGCTTTGACCTGCAGTAATTTCCTTGCATTTCCTCTCCTGCTTTTGCAATGTTCTGCAATATCTACATTACTGACTCATTTTACACCAGTCAACAAGGACATTCACGTTCAAGGATTGGAGGAATGTCAAATTCAAAACCCGTGATAGGACACTGCCAGACAAGGAATGTGAATCTTCTGTGCATTAATGATACAATTTCCTGTAATTATATCCTCTAGCCACTTATCAGCCAACTAGCAAACTCAGTGGTTGAGTATTTTGGACACAAAGTGAATTTTCTCCTCTTGGCAAGCAACGCCCATCAGAGCGGATACATGTACCATTGATGTAAACAATTTTCAGATGAACAATAAGATTCTTTTTTGCACTACTGGATGATCTGAGAACTGAACATCAAAACTCTTAAAGAAAAGAAAGCTGATGCAACATACACGCAAACACACACACAAATGAGTAAGTAGTTAAGATGACCTTCCTTCACTTTATCAATAAATACCCGAGTATTATCTCAAGGTGACTTTCTTATCTCTTGTTTCTCCAAGATCATAATGTTGTACAGAGAGTCCCGTCATACAAATACATTATACATTTTGAACATGTCTTGATATATGACAAGCAGTTGTAAATCTGTTATCACAAAAGATTATACATATAACAATCATACCTGGGTGTATACAGATATATGTATAAGTAGAATGTCGCATTCTGATATGGGGAAGAAAATCAAAGGAATGAAAAGAATAAAGCTTTGTTTCTTTCTGACAATGGGGGGGGGGGGGGTATCAAGTGAATGACTGAACTAAATAAAACTTTCTTATTGATATGGGGGGGAAAAATCAAAGAAATTAAGAAATTAAATAAAACTTTTTTTTTTTTTTAAGATTTTCTGTATCACAACTTCATTTACGAAACATGTTTGAATAATATTTGTAAACAATGGATGGTAAAACCAGGAAATTATCCATAACATCCATTTACCCTTCTGAACCCTAGAAGGGGGGATAAATGAACAGCTTCCCTTCCACATCTCATCTCAAACCTGTTTAGCACCTGCTAGTAGAGTCTTACAAACTTAGAAAGATATATATATATATAAAGGAGAAAACTAAAAACTCAGAATAACTTAACAAGAAAAAAAACAAGAAAGTACAGCAAATATCAAATTAAGGTTTAAAACAGGCTTGAAATAACCCCAGGAACTTTTGCTTCCAATGTCCATATATACAGGAACTCTTTTATTTTATGTGCTATGACCCTTTAAGATACAAACAAAAAAATGAGGAGCACCAATAAAGTAAAGTTTTTTCTTGATGTCTGAGCAGAAAAAAAAAGGAAAAAAGGGGCTCCAATTTACTTTTCACAATGGACAAAGCCATAACTAAAATAAATTTCTATGCAGAGAGAAAGTGCGAGAGATAGATAGATACGCAGAACCAGGAAACACATGAGGTTGTACAAAATTGAAAGAAAAATTGGAGAAAGATGACAGCAGCAGCATAAAAGTCGAGCCAAGACAAGACAAAAGTAAGCCGAGAAATGTGGCAGTTCCCGGCGTCCACGAATCCCGTCCCTGGGAGCTCCTCTGGCGAAGGCATTGGCCCAAAGGCAGCAGCGGAAGTGAAGGTTTCTTCTCAACCTGAAAAGTCAAATAAAACATTGACATTAATACAATACAGATAAAGTAAGTACAACATCAAATTTATAAGTATACTGACTATGGTCTCCTGCTTTCTAAACTAAGTATTTTTGGTGAAAAAGAGTGTGGTTACTTGTTTGCATGTTGATGTGCTTTGGGCTTGCACAGCTTAAAAAAAGTGAAGGGCTTTTAGATTCAAATTTAAAAATCTTCAGAGAGAGAGAGGGAGAGGGAAGGAGGGAGGGAGGGAGGGAGGGAGGGAGAGAGAGAGAGAGAGAGAGAGAGAGAGAGAGAGAGAGAGAGAGAGAGAGAGAGAGAGAGAGAGAGAGAGTAAGGCTGTGGGAAGGAGTGGATAGCCGGCCGGGCACGCAACAACCACCGCTGCCACCAGAATGTAAGGGTTAAATAAGGGAACCTCTAACATTGGCGACAGGGATGTAGTAAAAGCTTAGTGGCTAAAAACTCTTTTATTGATAGAGCTAGCACACAGAGAATAAACACAACGATGACCCTGGGTATTGGGCGGTCGGCTGGAGGGTCGCCCGGGGTCACTGGCGAGACCAGCCCCGGTCAGACGTGACATCGACGCGCCAGGGCAAACTCTACTGACCGGTCGAAACGCGGCCCTTAAGTATCTGAGATGCTTGTTTGGGGGGGGGCGAGTAGGACCGCCCCCAGCGCTGGGGCACACCGCATTGGGTAGCCATATGGACACCATGTGGCCACTTCAAGCCTCCATGTGGGGGCAACGCAGGCATATAATACTGATTTGATATACTATAGAGAGAGAGAGAGGGAGGGAGGGAGGGAGAGAGGGAGAGAGAGAGGGAGGGAGAGAGAGAGGGAGGGAGAGAGAGAGAGAGAGAGGGAGAGAGAGAGAGAGAGACAAAGGGAGAAAGAGAGACAAAGGGAGAGAGAAAGAGACAAAGGGAGAGGGAGAGAGACAAAGGGAGAGGGAGAGAGACAAAGGGAGAGGGAGAGAGACAAAGGGAGAAAGAGAGACAAAGGGAGAGGGAGAGAGACAAAGGGAGAAAGAGAGACAAGGGGAGAAAGAGAGACAAGGGGAGAAAGAGAGACAAAGAGAGAGGGAGAGAGAGGGATAGAGACAAAGAGAAAGGGAGAGAGACAAAGGGAGAAAGAGAGAGAGAGTTGGAGAGAACCTCCAATCCAGTCCGCTCCCCACACTCTTGTGCATAAGTCACAACACAGCCTAGAGGAGAGAATGGGAAAGGAGGGAGAGGAAAGAAAGGAGAGAGAGAGAGAGAGAGAGAGAGAGAGAGAGAGAGGAGAGGAGAGAAGAGAGAGGAGAGAGAGAGGAGAGAGGAGAGAATAGAAGAGAAGAGAAGAGGAGAGAAGAAAAGAGGAGAGAGGAGAGGGTGGGGGACTATTTAAGCCCTACGATAAGTATAACTTGACAATAACGTCATGGAAAAATCTGGTTTTAGTGGTGGGTGACGTAAACGTGCTGAGCACCAGAGTGATGGGAATGACTCACTCCTAGTGCACAAAGCTCTTGGAGGGTGATGAGACTCGTCTGGCATTTTGGAGGGGGCTTTTGCATTATTTCTATCAATAAAGGAGTGTGGAATGTACCCTCCTTTAGCCATGACTGGAAGAGTGCTAGCTTCAGGGAGAGCACTATTTCCATGCTCAGTATCCCATTTCTGGCAGCCATAACTGGTGGCACAGGTTGTATTACAGAAAACTGAATATATATAAAAAAAAAGATACAAATAACAAAATGTTTCTTAGTGTTGTCATTATTGCACTGACCTATGGACTACCTACAGAAATGATATGGAGTCTGCAAGGAAAACAGTCTATCACCATCTGGATAAAACAAATCAATTGAAAAATACAGACATTGGAAAATGGCAGAAAAGCCAAATATGCTAATGCAGAAAAGAGAAAATCATATTGCAAATGGAGAAAATAATATTGCCGGGTGCACACAAGTGTCTGTGTGCACCCGGCCTACGAGCTTCACACCCATGAGAGTGACTCTGGATCCAGGGGGTTAGACAAGAAAGCCTAAACTCTCGCAACTTACATCCTTTGTGGTGTCCCCGGCCTCACTGGAACTCGTCGTCTGAGCTTAAGAGCATTGTCTTCTCGTTATATGCTGCTCTTCCATTGCCGTTCCGGCCGCCATTCTGGGCTCTTCCGCCAAGGCCTCCCCCGTTCCCACCGCCCATGCCACCTCCTCCCATTCCCCCCATTCCGTTGCTTCCATTGGACTGCGGGACTTCGTCGGCATCATAGGTGCTAACCGCTGTGTGCCCCGACCCTCTGGTGGTGCCTCCTGCAACAAGAGAGGCTTCGTTAGTGGCTGCTGATATACACAACTGAAAGGATTTTCTGACTGGGGGCTCTGAACAGGGCAAAAAGAACGACAATGTTAAACAAAAAGCATGTTGTGAGATGACGTGAAAGAGGAGACAAATTTGAAAATTACAAAATGCATTTCAACATGATCATCTAAAGCCATGCTTAAATTTCATAAATTAATACAAACACAAACAAACAAACGGTTAACTGATTCTTTAGAAAGGAAAAAAAACAAAACATGCTTTATTATCTCAAAAATATAAAGTTTGCATTTTGAAAGCAATTCATTATGGGGAGCCTAATAAACACGGATTACTATGAGATCTGAACTTGAGCTAAATACAGCTAAATCATAATCAATGAGCCTCAAAGCATATACAGGCACTATCTACAAAGCTGGACAAATGCAAATGTACATGCATAAAACAGACTCTGACACAGACAAGATACAAGTAAGGGCACACAAAAAGAACAAGTATGCTGTTAAGCTGCAAATTCACACTTCCGTAACAATGCACGTCATGCATAAATAATGAAGTAGGAATGCTAATGAGAAAGTAACAAGTTCGATCAGATTCAAATCACAAAAAAAGTCAAGAGAAATTTACTGAGCAAAATACATTCTGCACTTCTTTTTTCTTTTTTGTTTTGTTTTGTTTGCCATGCTAAAGCTACTGGAAAATCAATCACATGATGTCATTTATATTTGTGCAGTAATCTAATCAAACTGAGTCTTTACATTTTCTATGAACCTTTCTTCCACATGAAATCTGCAATTCTAGTTTCAGTATGAGAACATACACAACAACAAATCTATCACAAAAATAAGTTATGCACCTCACTCTTCTGCTGAAAGATGATAGCACTATATATACCTTGACATCATCAAATATACATATATACAGATATAAACACACCCATGCATGCACACGTGTGCGCAAGCACAAGCACACACACACATTAATATATATATACATATATATACATATATATATATATATATATATATATATATATATATATATATATATTATGCACATGCATGCACGCGCGCATGCACTCACACTCTCAAGCACACACACACACACACACACACACACACACACACACACACACACACACACACGCACACGCACACGCACACGCACACGCACACGCCCACGCCCATGCCCACACGCACACGCACACACACATACGCACACACCCTCACACATATTGGTATTTCATTAAAGCAGTATTACTCTCAGATAAACCAATTTATAATAACTTGTATCTCAATCATAACATTTATGAATCTGATGCTATGTTAAGAAAAGGTAATGAATTTAAAGGGTAAAACAGACAAGAAAAATGTCCAACACCATGTTAACATAAACAAACAGATATAAGCCAAGAAGTTTTCAACCATGTTTTTAAGTAAAAAATAAATAAATAAATAAATAAAATAAAATAAAACAAAATAAAAGTATACTTTAATCACATACGAATATAACCCACCACCATTGTTGTATGAACACACAGAAATGAAACATAAATTAGTAAGCAGGTTTTGATGAAAACATCGCTAATGACATAGAATCAAAGATGTTATTTGGTCAACCTTATCTACTGCTAACACATAGATCAAGCCAAAGTTGGATCATTTTTGCCAATTAGCAAGTGGCTGTGTAAATTCCTATGAGGCATGATGCAACTGCCATCTACACTTGTTCTCCCTTACTTTCTATTAAGGAGAGAAGGAAAATATCTGTTCAAGATTAATGGACATATAAGATGATTTATGGTACATGAAGAAAACAAATAAATAAAATAAAACCAAATAAAAATCAAATAAATTCAAAGTAAAAATGGAGAGACAGAATATTAGGATCCAACTTTGCTTGCAAGTGACAATTCCCAACGTGAGTGTAAGTGCGAGAAAACAGTGCTTGTGTGCCGCAGTGGGCGAGGCGGCCGCCCCCACTGGAGTGTGGGTGTCGTTCCCACAGGCACACCACAGGCACGGCACCTTTGGAGGGCGGAGGGGGCAGTCTCACAAGGTCCTGGGTCTGTTGTGCTCGGACTGCGGTGGAGATGACACCATGGCCTGAGTTGACTACCGTGCCTCCACCACCTCCACCAACTTGACTGGGGGCATTGGTGGTGGTGGTGATGGTGGGGAGAGTGTCAGAGGCTAGAGTGGTGGTGGTGGTGGTGGAAGAGGAGACAGGCAAAAGGTCTGGACGGAGCTCCTCCATGTCATAGCTGTGCGTGAGCACCTGAGTTGGACGGCCGGTGTCGCCTAACGGGGTTCCATTCAATTACTTTATTGAATACAAACTCATCAAATTCCTTGCTTTGCATAGCTACTCAAACAAAAATAGTACAAACAACAATAATAAAAAAGGGATTAAGAGAAACAGAGAATGAGTATTAGGAAGACAAGGAGAGAAGAAGAGGAGAGAATTAGGAAAGGGTTAGGGGGAGAAAGGATGGATAAGAAAAGAAAGCAAATGAAAAATACAGGAAAGGAGAAGGGGGAAGGGTAGAATGAGGAGGAGGAGGAGGAGGAGGAGGAGGAGGAAGAGGAAGGGGGAGAGGGAGGGAGAGGAAGGGAGGGAGGGAGGGAGGGAGAGGGAGGGAGAGGGAGGGAGGGAGAGAGAGAGGGAGGGAGAGGGAGAGGGAGACGGAGAGGGAGAGAGGGAGAGAGAGAGAGAGAGAGAGAGAGAGAGAGAGAGAGAGAGAGAGAGAGAGAGAGAGAGAGAGAGAGAGAGAGAGAGAGAGAGAGAGAGAGAGAGAGAGAGAGAGAGAGAGAGAGAGAGAGATTAAATAATAAATATGTGGTTAAAATTTATCACATAACATGCAGACATATCAGCATAAAAGTAATAACTATTATGTTAAAATAAATAAATAAGGAACATGCTCGTTAAACATCCAAAGCAAAAACAAATGATATTACTTCACATAAAACTTATCCTATATATTGAAAATTTACACTGGTACATAAAACCTCTTAAAAATATTTGGATGGAAAAATAAAATATATATATCTGTACAATACCTAAATTTGATAATACTGCACTTCAAAAATACACTTTTTTTTCTTTACTCATAATACCATAAGAAAATTTTAAATGTGTTACAGCGCAGAATCAATCATTATGTATGCATATTTGAAGTGTAAGTTAACTACAAGATTATTACAATTTAAATCTCTTTAAACATACATTACCACATTATAAAAAAAATCTTTAATGAACATTTGCATGTATTCAAAAATGTTAGCTGGATGATTTTCCAAAATAGCAGCAGATGGACTTTAGAAAATAAAATGTAACAAAGCCCAGGAGAAAGGGACTGGAGCAGAAAAAAATATTGATCAAAAACTAAAATTAAAAGAGAAAGAGTAATGAAAGTGAGGGGAATGAGGGGAAGGGGTGGGAAGCATAAAAGATTAATTGATCACAGAGCACTGAGATGAAAGAAGAAGAAAAGAAAAAAAAAGGACTATATGGAACTCAAATGACAGTGTTATAACTAGTTAGGACAGATCAGGTTAACTTGGGATTAGTCAAGAGCAGAAGAGCTTAAATTACTTTGCAATAAACTTAGAAAAGTAACTAATGCAAGCCTTATTTAGGCTAAGATATGGAATCCCTTAAAATGACTTGTGCAGAATAAAGCTGTTGTAAGGATAGAACTAGTAAAATCAGTGTAAGGGAATGAACAATGAACATATCTATTACAATGAAGTCTAAATTCACAGCTGCTGGAGACGAATCTCTTAAAGCATATTTATCGCTAGCAGAATGAATTACGGTTTTTATTGTCAAAAGGACTTTCTTTTACTTATCTATCTACTCACCAACAGTCAGTCTCATGTACTTAGTTATACTTGCAAAAAAATTACTAATGCACTTAGCAAGACGTCTGCTAATCCTGGGCCTAAAAAAGCTACACCGGAAAGACACAAGAGGTTCCCAGTTTAAGCGCAAGAGAGCTGCTTACCTACAGCAAAACACAGGCTACCCTCCACTATGGCACCTATCTACTCCAAACTACTCTCTCCTGGACAGAACACTGCCCCGAGAGAACAAAGGCAACGCGCTCGAGGAAAACTTCCTTAAGGATCTAAACAACACCTTTGGCAACCTCCAACCCCTGTTCCAGTTCTTGGAGGAACACGCGGGCACTGACTGAGTTGCAGCCTGCGTGGCAAAGCCATGACAAGGAGTTATTTTGGGACCAACACCGTTTGGTTCACATGTTACATTTTTAATAATTTTGGAAAATTGAAAAAAACAAAGAACAAATTAAACAAATACATGAGACAGAGAGAGAGAGAGAGAGAGTATGAGAGAGAGAGAGAGAGAGAGAGAGAGAGAGAGAGAGAGAGAGAGAGAGAGAGAGAGAGAGAGAGAGAGAGAGAGAGAGAGAGTATGAGAGAGAGAGAGTATGAGAGAGAGAGAGAGTATGAGAGAGAGAGAGAGAGAGAGAGAGAGAGAGAGAGAGAGAGAGAGAGAGAGAGAGAGTATGAGAGAGTATAAGAGAGAGAGAGAGAGAGAGAGAGAGAGAGAGAGAGAGAGAGAGAGAGAGAGAGAGAGAGAGAGAGAGAGAGAGAGAGAGAGAGAGAGTATGAGAGAGAGAGAGAGAGAGAGAGAGAGAGAGAGAGAGAGAGAGAGAGAGAGAGAGAGAGAGTGAGAGAGAGAGAGAGTATGAGAGAGAGAGAGTATGAGAGAGAGAGAGTATGAGAGAGAGAGAGTATGAGAGAGAGAGTATGAGAGAGAGAGTATGAGAGAGAGAGAGAGAGAGAGAGAGAGAGAGAGAGAGAGAGAGAGTGAGAGAGAGAGAGAGAGAGAGAAAGAGAGAGAGAGAGTATGAGAGAGAGAGAATGAGAGAGAGAGAGAGAGAGAGAGAGAGAGAGAGAGAGAGAGAGAGAGAGAGAGAGAGTATGAGAGAGAGAGTATGAGAGAGAGAGAGAGAGAGAGAGAGAGAGAGAGAGAGAGAGAGAGAGAGAGAGAGAGAGAGAGTATGAGAGAGAGAGTATGAGAGAGAGAGAGAGAGAGAGAGAGAGAGAGAGAGAGAGAGAGAGAGAGAGAGAGAGAGAGAGAGAGAGAGAGAGAGAGAGAGTAGAAGAAAGAAAGAAAGAGAGAAAGAGACTGATATAAATTTAAATTCATGCAGAGCAATGATTAGAACTGGTGCAAACGTAATCTTTGATAATATGCAAAAAATGCTACAATACATCAATAGACTATAGCAAAAAGACAAATATTATGGGATAACTTCATCATAAATGTAAATGTAATTTTACCCAAGATAAGAGATATTCATTTAATAATTACTGAAATAACAAAGGTAATAGATCTTATAAGCAAAAGCAATACATAATTTGCATATCAATTTAACTCCATTCAACAAGTTAAAATAACCTACCAACATTAGAAGAATATATAAAAAAAATCCATTCTATACACAAGATCACTTGACAGACTAACACCGAGATCAGTGGGCTTGGAAACTAAGGCCTGAACATCCATTGTAAAAGAGGAAAGCGCATGCACAAGTCTTGGAAACAAGATGCTTTTGTTAGTAGGAACTACTGGAGACCATTCCCTGACTGCAGACATGTAAGGCAGGGTGTTGCAGAAACAAATATTGCAGCTTGGATAGCCTATGTCCAAACACAAACACACACAAGTACACACACACAAACATACACACACAGACACACACACACACACACACAGACACACGGACACACACACACGGACACACACACACGGACACACACACACACGGACACACAGACACACACACACAGACACACACACACACACACACATATATTAAACAAAAAAATAATAATAATAAATAAATAAATAAATAAAAAAATAATGAAAAAAAAATCTTGTCCTCTCTCCAAGCTTACGTGCTGTTGTCTGGGAATGGCCTGTGACAGATCCACAGAAGAGGGCTATCTTTCCTGCTCTGAGGACGCCAGAGCCAAACCCTGCCAAACTCTAAATTCTTATTGATGCTCCAGTCCCTACATCACCATCCCAAACTTGTGTCGGAATATTTTTAGAAAGTAGAAATTCTCACATAAAAATGGTTTGGAAGGCAGCACTGATGACATTAATGAGCAAACATAATTATCAATTTATATCTCTTGGATCTTAAAACATTTGAAATATGCCCAAACTGCATTCCAAAAACAACCTCTAAAATCATATTGAAATAAAGCCTATTTATCACTCCAGGTGACTGAATTGGTAAAACCTCATGCACAAAAAAAATAAATAAATAAAATAAAAATATAGATAAAAAAAAATAATAATAAAATAATAATGAAAAAAGAACAAAATGGTAAAATCAATAAAATAAATAGAGAGAAAAAAAAGAATAAATTCAATAAATATTTACATATAAATTATTAAATATAGCTTCTGTACTATTACTATAAAAAAGGAGGAAGGCTGAAATACCTGCACTATACTGGGTATACTGCTGGTACTGTGGGTGGAAATTGTGGATGGCATCCGTCATAATGTCCTTGGGATTCATGGTCTCCTGCAGGAGGAAATTTGTACATTTGTTAATAAAAACGTCTCTTTGTCTGGCAGCAACACAAATGTAAGCTAGATGGATACTTCAATATAGACTAATAGACCAATATCAATAAGAAATAAAAGAACAACAGTCATGATCAAAACAATATTAATCCAGTAGCACCTGGAATATGCACTGCCTACTGTAGTTTTTTATGAAACATAGATAACACTCCAAGTGCTCAACCATTATGAAGCCAATCATTATGACCTTGAAGACCACAGCTAATTTCCCAATTTCTTAAACTTTCAGGAAAATATTCATTCAAATGCTATTTAATACCAACACTCTCATTATTAATGTCATCATCATTAACATTTTGATTATTCTAATGTTAATAACAATATATTTAGCCAATAAAAAAGGCTCTTCCCAGTAATTAAGGAAAAGGGTAAACAGGTAATAGCAGGCCTCGATGGGCTAGTAAGTGCAGCATCTGGATCAGTGTATACCTTATATGCCATAACATTAAAGACAGGAATCTTCTCAGCAATGGTAATGATCATGATAATATGAGCAATATCAATAAATGCAATACCATGACCAGTATTGGTGTACACCTCATAAGGAATAATATTTGCGTCCTCACCTTGAGAGATGACGAAATGCTCTGCATGGTGACTGTGCGACCCGTGCCAGTAACGGTGAAATCTCCGTAGATTTGGTAAGGGAAGGCGTAGCGCAGGGCAACGGAGGCGAAAAACATTTCTACGCAGATAATGAAGTTCTGGTATCCAGCAGAGACTGTGCCCGTGTTCAGGTTAGGGTTTCCTTTGATAACTTCAGCCTTTTCAAGGATAGCTAATAATACACCTGCAGACATTTGCAAAGATTAGGGAAGTGAGATATTACAGTAATTAAAAATAAATTCTTGAAACAAAAAGTAACATCTAACAAAGTATGTTAGAGGATCCAATGATACTTTATGTTTTTAATAAAAAATAATATATGAAGCTTACATTTTTTCCTTGGGATTTTTGCCATTGGTGGTTAAACATTTGGGAAATATTTCAAATGTTCTCCTATTTATAAAAGCAAACAAAAAATTGCATCAAGCAAGATTACATGAGACAAATTCTCATCCAACATATTTCAAGAATACCATCACATTCTTGTAAAAGTACCAACATGTGCACAGATTTTTCCTATTTTTCTTACCTTGCCAAAACGAGACAAAGATGACGGACTTGATGGTGAAGAACTTGAGCACAGGCTCAAACGGCTGCAGGAGGTCTCTCGTGGCAAAATAGAAGAGCAAGTGGCTGTACAGGGCAAGCGACACTGAGATATTGTAGATGATGGTGATGTACAGGTATCCGCCTTCAGGACTGTCAACGGAAAATGTCAGGTGTTGTAAAAGTCCTGCAGAATCCAAATTCCCTCAACACTAGATAACCCTAATCACACCATGGTGATCTTGGCACTTCTGCCTTACACACGGGAGACAATCCCTTGCTGCCAGGTGAGAACCTCGTAAGTGTCAGTACATGTATAGCAGTCACCTGGTGCCGAGGAGAAATGGGCTAAGTGAAAATGTATCAGTTCAAGCATAATGTACATTCACAACTGTTCACAGGTATCTTACCTCCAGTCACCATCCTGGTACTTCCCAAAGTACTGTAGAATTATGGTTATGAAGGCCATGACCGGCTTTACAAAGCAGAACTGCAGGGTTGCCTGCTTGCAGAAGCGAAGGAACCCAATGGTGTACGTCTTCCCTGCCAAGCAGCATGTGCCATACATGCATGACGATCTGGTGGCAAGGAGACAGTTAGACAGGCCCCTTTCTAGGATTCCAGAAAAATTAATAAGAACTACAGCACTTTCGCGAGAATTCACAGAGACATATCTAATCAAACCCGATGCACATAGCAATATTAAAAGAAAAAAAAAAAAAAAGTTCTCTGAACAAATATCCATATCATATTTGCAATCTGACAGTGTGTGTCTCAGAATAAAGTTTATTTAAATACTGACTACGAATATGATGATGATGAGAAAAGGGAAGAAAAGGAAGAGGAGGAGGATGAACTGGGAGGGGAGGGGAGGGGAGGGGAGGGGGGGGAGGAAGAGGGCTAGGGAGGGGAGGAGGTGGAGGAAGAAGGAGAAAGAGGATTTAAAAGGAAAAGAAAGAAAGAGAAAGAGAAGATGAAGAGGATGGAGAAGGAGAAGGAGAGAGAATAAGAATAAAAAAATAAATGATACAAGGACTCACCTAATAGGCTTCCCTCTGATCTCGCTCATAATGTTGCCTTCTCCTCCAAGGTACTCGTAGCACAGACTCAAGAAGTTGTAGATCACAAATGCTGCAATGGAACATGAGGTGAAAATGGAAAGGAAAGAAAAAAATAAAGAAGAAAGAAAGAAATTAAAACAAAAAATAAATACAGATAGTCCCCTACTTAAGAACATTCTACTTATGAACATTCCATATGTACAAACAAAATTTTTTAAGTACTCAAGTCCAAAAAATTGTTTGAAAGATGCTAGCAAACTTCAAATTTCCTGAGCGTGAATATAGTTCAAGAGTTTGGTACTGTATAAGGTATGTCGTACTTATTGGGATCTATTTACAGGTATTCTTAATGTAAACAAAACTTTAAAACAATGGAAAAAAAGGTAATGGAGACCCAACTTTCGACATACAAACAAATCAACTTACAAACAGCCTCTCAGTTCCCATTATGTTCTTAAGTTGGGGACTTACTGTATCTCATTTCAAGAATCCCTCTCTAGCTCAGTGCTTTACTAACATTCCCTTAAACAGTACAAACAACGTTCTCTGGGAAATGTCTATACATGCCGCAGCATACCTTCATAGCAGTCCCTGATTGTGTCAAAATAGATGTAGTAGTTGTCCTTGTTGAAAAAGAGGAGGGAAATCCAGGAGTCGAAGGCGTAGATGGGAACGAACAGCAATATCCGCACAATCCATCGCTGTTCTGCTGGGTTGCTGTAGTATCGCAGGTGTTGGTAGATCTGGAAAAAAATGGGTTCTTGTTAGAAGTGTCAA